AGGCACTGGGGAGAGGATGGAGGACTTTTTGAGGCGAGCAGCCAAGGGACTTGTAGGGGAGGGTTCTTCCAAGAGGAAGGAAGGTGGAACAGATCCGGCCGCCGCCCTTGCTGGGAAGAGGCATCGCCAGCAGAAGGTCACTAACGTCTACGGTGGCGAGTGGGTTGCTCGCCACAAGAAGACATTCCTTCGCTGGATCAATTCCAGCGGGGTCCCCTTCAATGCCTTCCGCAACCAGGCTTGGAAGGTATACCAGCCGGTCCTTCTTGAGCAGCCTGGCAGTTCCCCGCGCGCTGTGCTCCCCAGCCACAGCGAGATTGCGAGTATGCAGGCGGTGGAGACCCACCGTGAGGAGCTGGCGGAGGAGTTGGAGGAGGTGAGGCAGCCATTCTGGATCACTGGTGCCACCCTCCTCTCCGACGGGAGGAAATCACGAGACGGGAGAACGATCGTGAATTTCCTTGTCGCCGGCTCGCGAGGGGTCGTCGTCTACACGACGATCAATCGCGAGGGCGAGCCGGACGATGCAGTGCACGTCCTTCGGAGATGGAGGACCATCTTCCACGAGTTCAGTTTCGGCGGCCCGCAGTGGGTCAATGCGATATGCACAGACTCCGCATCCGCGTACATGGGGGCTGCGAGGGCATTGGCCTCGCCGGGCATGCCTCCTGCAATCAGGAGGATCACTTGGCTTCCGTGTTCCGTCCATGTCTGCAACAAATTGTTGTCAGACATGGGGACGAGTTGCGACGCGTTTGTGGACGCGATTACACGCACTCGTGTTCTGGTGGTGTTTTTCAAAACCCACTAGGCCGCCCTTTATTTCTTTAGGAAGCGCAGCCCCAACAAGGGGTTTGTGCTTTCTTGCGAGACGTGGTTCGCGTCCGTTTATTCTATGTTAGAGAGACTGTTGGCCCTCGAGAACGCTCTGCAGGCGATGATGCGAGGGGATGAGGGGCGGGAGTTTGCTTCTATACCGTGGTCCGCCGATGTGTGCGACATGGCGCGTTGGGTGCGCCGGCAGATCAGATGGGAGCCTTGGTGGCACACGATGGCCACCATAGTCCACATCATGCAGCCCGTCATGGAGCTGCTTAGGCGGATGGATCGTGGGGGGCAGTACATGTCCCTCATGATCAAGTGGACACAGGATCTTGTCCGCCGTGTCACTGATGCATGCGCTCCTTTGAGGAGGGTTTTCGCTGACCGCATCATCAGGCGTGTGCAGGCTCGCACACAGCACATGCTGGAGCCTGCTCACTGCGCGGGGTTCTTACTGAACCCCCGCAGGCGACATGTTGAGTACTTTTCGGGCGAGGTGAGGGATTACCCTCGTTGGCTTGTGAGGCAAGCCAAGAGGAACATTTTAACGCAGGCGGGTTACGAGGAGGATGGTGTGGAGCACATCATTGCATGTCGGCAGTTTGAGGACTTCCACATGCAACAGGACACATTTGGGGATTGGGGAGGGGGGGAGGGGCGTGCTCGTGGGCGTGCTTGCAGCGCCAACAGGGAGACGATTGAGTGCGCGTCCTGCTGGTCTCAGTACGGGTCTGGCGCACCTGAGTTGCAGCGCTGCGCTCTTCGTGTGATGCACATGTGGTCTTGCGCCTCTCCAGCGGAGAGGAACTGGGCAGTCCACGAGGGCATTCACACGAAGAAGCGCAACCAGTTGGCCTTTGAGAAGGTCGTTCAGCTCGTTGAGATCACCGCGAATGTGCGGTTGTCGGAGTATCGGCGTGCTGGGTGCGGTTATGTGCTGCCATGGCAGTGGCACGAGGGCATGCTAGACTGCCAGGCCGGACTGGAGTTGGAGCCAGTGCGCACGGGCACGCGCAGGGGGATGACGCCAGAGGAGATTGCCCGCCAGGTTGTGCTTATCACCTGGGATCCCATCGGGGTCTCTGCACCACCCGCCGCTGAGGCCGTATTCGGTAGATGTGCTTCCATTTTCCGTCCTTACCCCAGGGAGGATGATTCCGATGAGGAGCCGGTACCCGAGGCAGCGGACCACCCCGCGCTCCGCATTCCCCGTGAGATCGACGCACCTGGACTCGAGGAGGACACCAGGGCGCATACTGCACGGTGGGCGGCTGACAGGGAGGAGAGGGAGATGATGGGGGGAGAGGAGGAGTTGTGGGGACCGTTCAGGGAGGTCGCTTCGACGGGCGGCACAGGAGCACGGGCGACGAGCCCCGCTCCGACGAGGCAGGAGTCGTCCATGCCGCCACCTTTTGCTCCGAGTCCTGCACCGCCATCGCCCGTCGCGCCATATGAGTCGACCACGGCAGCAGAGGATACGGAGGAGTTGGCGTCCTCTTTGCCTCAGCACGGACTACTCCACAGAGGCGGGGCAGTCCGACAGTTGAGGTTACGATCACCTTCTCCGGGGGTCTTGTAGGAGGAGGGGGGACCGTCGGCCGCAGCAGTGGAGGGGGAGATGGCAGTGGAGGGGGGATTGGCGGACACGGCGATTGCAGGTGTGGTGGACCAGATAGCTGTCGCAGCAGCGACTTTATTGCTAGAGGAGATGACAGCTTCAATATTGGCGGAGGAGGCACCAGCGCCAGGGGGAGCAGATGCAGTGGAGGGGCAGGCGGGAGCAGCTGGAGGAGCAGCTGGTGGAGCAGCTGCACTGGATGGGCTTGTGGCTGCAGCAGCAGGAGCAGCGAGACGAGGGTCGGATGCAGTGGGGGGGGGAATGCCAGGAGCAGTGGAGGAGGAGATAGGGGCACAGGCGGAGGTGTCGCGTGGGGGCGGCGACGAGCGCCTCATGCAGCAGTTCCTCACGGAGCAGTACGATCCGGTCATGTCAGGTATGACCCCAGGTCTGGCGAGGGGGTTGGGAATGTCGGATTCGCAGATGGGGAGCCACCTGGACTTAGATTTGTCGATGGGCCTTCCACCTAGTTGCGGCAGGGCGACATCGACGGATCGCGGTCCATCGAGGGACGACGCGGCTGGAGAGAGTCTCACGTAGCCCCAGAGAGTGACGATGACTGCGTCTCCGGATGCGGCACGCGACATCCTAGAGCGAGAGAGGGCTCGACTTATGGCATCGACTAACCCGCGTGCTCAGGCATTCGCACGGGCGTTGCCTGCACAGCCTCATCCACCGCCTGTTGCAAGCCCTCCACATGAACATCCGCTGCCGATCGCCCACCCTGCACAGCCTCAGCGTCCGCCCGTGCCACCACTCTCTCCACAACGTCCTCCCCCGCCACCACCCCACCCCGCACACCCCCCCCCCCTGCCTCGACTGCCACCCCCTCCACAACATCCTCCCCCGCAACCAGGGCCGACAGTCGCAGCCAGTGCCGGTGGCAGTGCATGGTGTGCCGCCGCCCGTTATCACGGATTTGGGGTCCGAGCCGGTGGTTGTGCCACCGCGTCTTCCTAGTCACTTTGCTCCGTAGGAGGTCCGCCGTCCTTTGGATGGAGACGAGTTGGCGAGAGAGGCTGTCCGCAATGTGACTCGCTTGGACCGGCGGGCCTTTGACCAGAGGCTACAACATCCACCATTTGGGTGATCCCTCCAGTTCCATGGGGTCCTGCATCGCCGGTGTGGTCTGGGTCTACCTCCACCGGAGCACGTACGGCGGGAGATGTTCCAGGGGTTTCAGGTGGCGTCGTGGAGACAGCGCCACGTACACGAGACATGCCACCCCCTCCTCATAGACCACCTGTAGGTGATCCGTCATCATCGCCCACAGGCAGAGGCTCTCGATCTCCACACACGCCTGGGAGGTCTAGGATTCGGGACAATACAGCCGTTGTGGGGAACGTGAGTGACACAGCGTTGTTCGGGAGGGCAGACATAGATTTCGATTCCACCCGCCATGTCACGGAGCACACTGCACGTCTACAGTCGGGTTTGGGACCCCGCGACGGCAAGATGACCGCAGCGAGGGAGGTGGCAGCACCAGGTTGTGAGCCTCAGCGAGGTCGCGACAGAGGAGTGTCCGCCGATAGCTTGGAGTACGCTCTGATGGCAGCGACGCGTGCCGTACATGAGCAGACTCCACGCAAGCGCGGAGTGCCTCCTCGTCCACGCCCCGTGCCCGCAGAGGGAGGAGATGCACTTGGAGAGACTTCGGGGGCAAAGGGGTTGGGGATGCCTCGTGGATCGCTCCGTGAGCAGACGGTTACAGAGGCTAGTGCGAGGGATGTTGTGTTGAGGAAGGCAGGATCCCCTGTCACCATCGAGGAGGATGATCCTGAGACAGATGTGGCAGTGCGGGAGGAGGACGAGGACTATGAGGGCGAGGAGGAGGGAGAGGAGGAGAGCGAGAGAGGTTTCGATGGTGACTACGACCACGACGAGCACGAGCCCCCACCTCCCCCACGGAAACGTGCAGCCAGACGGCGCGCTGCGCAGACTTCTTCATCATCACGAGGGAGGAGGAGTTCGACATCCGGCACGCGAGGGGGTACGAGGAGACAGAGCGGGAAGGGGAAGAAGCGTCGTTGACTGATGAGGCCAACACTCATTTTTTCCCCTGCTCACACTGAGGTTCGTCATGTTGTGCGGTCCTAGTTTTTTTGGTCGTCTCGTCTTGTCTAAGTGTTGTTAGGCTCTCAGTGGTTGTGTGCGTGCAGCGTGCTACAGATGTATTAGATGATGTTTCCTTTGTTTTCGGTGTGTATGATTTTGGTACCAGTATGGTGTTCGTAGAGTAGCGTTGTACCAGTAGGGTGTTCGCAGAGTAGCTACGACACGACTTGTACACTACAGTTTCGTTTGTTTTTTTTCGACATGTGGTACCACTGCCTTAGAAGTAGCCTGTAGGATACATTGCATATGTTGCATTTTTCATTTCTGTTTTCAGTGACAGGTACTTTGTGTCGTTGAGGACTTTTCATGCACAGTACATTTTCCATGTACAGTTTCAGTTTCGATTGATGCTTGTCGTGGTCGTTGTGCACGAGCTTTCGTGACCATTTTCATCTGGTGTGATTTTATATATTTCATTGTTGTTATCATTTGCAATCTCATTTCCTGCGTTTGACGCCGTTTGTTTCTTGTACAATTCTACTTTAGTTTTTTGCCTGAAGAGTTGCTTGTGTGCTTGTTCTTTCTTTTTTTCTTTTCTGTGTTGATTGTTGAATCAAATTATCATTGTATGAAGTACTAACTGATATTTGGGGGGGGAGGGGTTGGATGCGAACTGG